CGATAGAAGCTGAAGAAGGAAGACTGCGGTCTTCTTCCTTCACCTTCTCCCAGTCTTCTTCCTTCACCTTCTCCCAGTCTTCTTCCTTCACCTTCTCCCAGTCTTCTTCCTTCACCTTCTCCCAGTCTTCTTCCTTCACCTTCCCCCAGTCTTCTTCCTTCACCTTCTCCCAGTTTTCTTCCTTCACCTTCTCCCAGTCTTCTTCCTTCATCTTCTAACAGTTTTCTTCCTTCTCCTTCTAACAGTTTTCTTCCTTCTCCTTCTAACAGTTTTCTTCCTTCTCCTTCTAACAATTTTCTTCCTTCTTCAGCATCTAGTCGCAGTTTTCCTTCTTCAGCTTCTAGTCGTAGTCTTCCTTCAGCTTCTGGTCATAGTCTTCCTTCTACAGTTTCTTACAGTCTTCTTCCTTCACCTTCTAACAGTTTTCTTCCTTCAACTTCTAGCAGGCTGCTATATTCAGCTTCTTCCCGTTTTCAATCGGTATCTTCATGTTGCAGTTTCAACTTCTTTACGTATTCCGAGTATCGCTATTCATCATCATGCCGGTTGCCGTTGCCTTTTCGATGCTTTTATTTCATGATTAATTTTCGTCTTCCTCAATCTTCTTTCTTCAACTACTTCAGTTAGATATCCCCGTAGTTCTTTTTTCTCTTGGGATTTATTTTGGGATAATCTTTTCTGGTTTTTACATTCTCTTAATTCAGTCTTCTTTCACATTCTTCATATTGTCTTCTCTTCTCTGCCCCTTACTGCAATATTAAAAATAAAATTACTAATAGTATTAAAAATAAAATTACTAATAGTATTACAAACGAAAACTATTTTTGTATTGTTTCTGAATAAGACTTCTCATAAAGTAAATATTATTTGGGAAGCAATATCAATAACTGTAAGCCTTAAATTTAAGGTTAAGACTCACCTTTTTTTCGTTATTAAATGACACGATTGCAATTTTTCCAACTAAAATTATCATCCCATATATTATATTTCGACTTCGCCATTTCAATTTCATGATATATTAAATTCGAATTTTTTTTCGACTATATTTGTTCAAAAATCTTCAACTTATTATGTATTCATACTTTTTTCATGTACTTCAGTCACATTTACGTAAGTGTAGATCACATCTAATTTAATCCAATATACACTACAGGCAACTTTCTGTTACATTCTGGTACCGGTATTGCAGACATATCTAATTAATTATATTCTGTAAACTGCATCCATTTCAAACAGAGCATCATGGTAATGCTTATAGCAGCCAATTGAGAGAATATCGATTTGTTAATGTTATCCTGAATTATGGTTTCTCTTCCAAACTATTTTAAAAGACGAAGTTGTTTCAGTCTGGAAAAAATTTAGTCAGATACCTACTAGCCTAAATTAATGTATTTAACACAGAATTAGACATTTGTACACTCTTTTCCATCATCTCATATTTCTAGAATTTATAAATTAAATTGCATTATATTTCTAATCTGAAATTGTGTATTGTGTTTTAGATAAGAAGCTATTTTATAATCATGTTGTTAGAAAATAATTAGTAAAACCTGAAAATTAAAGAACATATTCCACTTTTCCAATTTCGAATAAAATATAATTCACATTTTTTACAAAAAAAATGCATCATGCATGTCACGCTTTTTAAATGATTTCAATTCATATGCCTTCGGTTTCATTTAAAGGTTATTTATAATTAAATTTTTCTAGATGATAAATCTGAAATAAAATAGTCGACTACCAAAACAAAAAGGTATACATAAAAAGAAAAAGTTCATCTCAATGTAGCATGTTATACAAACAAATCGGCAACAAAGCGTGCTTCCGTTTGACCCATTATATCATGCAAAAAATTTATAGACAACATACGTCAACATCTTATAAGCAAAAATTGACAATAAAAAGCAACAGTACTTACAATCTTTGACTGGCCGAAATAATATTACAATTACGTTACATAATATGTTGTTGGATA